TCGTGGGAGCGCAGTCCGGGAACGGGGCGGGAGGGGTTTGTGGAGCACGGAAAGTGCTCTGGTCCCTCAGCGCCAGGGCTTTGTTCCCGCGTGTGCTCAGTCCCGCTTTTATCCGAGGAGGGTGGAAGCGACCTTGTAATGCGGGTGGGGCGATGCCGCGGAGGGCGTGGAGGCTTCGGCACGCGTTTGCCGTGTCGTTGTGGGTGCTGGGACACGGAAGGGCACCCCTTAATTTTTTGCTACATCTTCAGCTACGAGGCCTCTTTCCTGTTACTGCTAGTCCTTGAAATGCTGTCGGGCCTTGTCTCGTAGCTCGTGCCTGCGAGTTCCCCAAGCTTGTTGCGCAGAAGTGATTAAGCGGTTCCCTGAACGGACAGTTACATTTCGTTTTTTTTCCCCTCAGACTTAGGTGTAGACAGCCTTGCTGAGTGACTCAAAAACTCGTCACAGATGTGTAATCTCAGTGATAACGGAAGTGATTCTGGCACCAAATGAAGAGGGAGGAATAACGCGACTAGCAGTCAGAAGCACGTGGAAAGTTGTTTGTAGTAATGCTGATAGTTATGTAGCGTTGTGGCTTCAGGCCTGATAACCGCCTGACATGTGTTGTCTTGTACAGCAGGCTTCAGAAACTGTCTCCAGTGTCAGATTGTGCATCTAAACCGATGAGAGGATGTGTTAAAGGTGAAATACATATTGAACGTTGTCTGAAGTTGTTCTTGCGCAGCATTGTGTAAATGCAGTTGCTTCATGCGTTAGCAACCTCCTCCTAATGCCTTTGATTAAGAACTGCCAAATAAACGTCATGTGTTTTGCTTGTAAGACTTCTATCTTAATGACAGTTATTTATATTAGCTCTCTAGTGCACAGCTGACTGTGAGACTTTCTTGCTGTCGAAGCAAGAAAACATCCTTCTCCAAGAGTAAAGAAGGATGAACATGTAATTGTATCATCCACATTCTTCTCTGGGAGAAAACATGCTTATGACCTTTAAATAGCTCTCACTGGGGAGAATACAGGTTGGAGTTATAGTTCTTTACTTAGTATGAAACTTTGAGTTGAATACCTAAGCAGCTTTATGCATGTAATGAGCAGGTGATCCTTCAAGCTGTAGCTGATTAAAAAATTACCCCATACTGGAACCACATATTTCTGCGCAAAATTTTGTAGAAAAAATGAAAGATGACAGCGGTTTTGGGACTGTATTTATGATACTTTGTACTACATTGTGCTTTTCACTCTAAATTGTTTTCAGGCTACAGTGAACTATTACTTTAAATGCTTTTCTTATGTGGCTGCAGTGGCAACTCGTAGAGCACTTTTTTGCCTCAAAAGGCATATTGACAAAGACCACGAGTTAATTCCCTTTTTTGGCAGAAGTGCTTTGGCATCGTTTTAGTCAGATATGGTGAGGCTGTTGTGAAATTTGGTTTGAAAGCTACTTTACATCAGAGAAAGGCAGTAGCATGGGCTCACATTGTAGGTGATACCCCTTCATAAGCCCTTTATGGGGTATCCAAGTTGTTTCTTTTCACTCACAGCTGAATCATGTATTGGTTGCCTTTTTATTATTCACTGTGAAAGCATTTAGGCATAGTTGGAGTGGGACCTATGAAGACTTCTTAGTTATCTAGTGTTTGAGATCCCCCAATTCCTTGTCCACCCCCCCCCCCCCCCCCCCACCTCCTCTTCTTTT